CAGGTTGGACGGGGCTCTGAGCAACCTGATGGAGTTGAAGATGTCCCTGCCCCTGGCAGGGGGGTTGGACTAGATGACCTTTAGCGGTCCCTTCCAACCCAAACTATTCTATGATTTTTATAATAAGCATGGTGGTACTCCATGTGCAATAATCCCATTTGAAAATTTTTGAGTTTAAACTGAGAACTATTTCTGAATCTGCTTTTCATTGTTTTTCCATGAGTTGGTATATGGGCCTTAATACTTAGGCTGTTTCTCAGTTAATTGGTACCAGTCCCAATGTTAATTGGTAGCAGAAAAACTAGTAAGTGTTTTTTCTAAACAGATATATTGATTAAAGCTAAATATACTGGTACGTGAAATGTATTTAGTGTTAAGAATTAGTACCAGAAAGGTATAATATTGAATTATGAAAACAAAATATTGAAATATGTAGTTACCCCAAAACATGTGAAGAATTTAGCTCAAACAGATAACTGCTTATGACTAATGCGCTGTTATCCATTAAAAGTAGAATTGGGTTCCTGATTTGGAGATACTTTCCCCTCATATTTATATGATATATGTGGAAATAATTTAGAATAGAATAGACTATTTCAGTTGGAAAGGACCTACAATAATCATCTAGTCCAACTGCCTGACCAATTCAGGGCTGACAAGTTAAAGCATATTAGTAAGGGCATCAAAAGTTAGTTTCATTAAATAATACTAAAAATTATCATAGGAACTACAACAATTGGAAGAAAATCCAGGTTCAGACCAGGAGAGGAAACTCCCTGTCATCTGTCAAGTAGTTCATCTAGGTCAAGACTATGGCATGTATGTGGTCCTGTGGGTGGCAAATTATGTCTACGTTGCAGATAAAAAAAGACCAGTGTTAAGACAATAAGCATGCAGTACTTCTAAATGAAAGTCATAGCTTTTGGCTATGACTCTGGGAATGTGAACACCAGTAAATATTTTCTTTTTTAGGATAGATTTCTTTAAAATCCAAAGAAAATATGAATTAACTCCTTCCACGTCACTTGGATTTTCAAACTTCTGTCAGAGTTCTTGTTGACCTCTTACAAAATGACTTTGTGTCCTATGTTTGGAAATATTTTTAAACTGTTATTTAAAATCATGTTATTTGGAGAGCTTTATTTTTTAAAAAAACTTTTTTCCGAAGAAAAAGGTTAATATCTATGGAAGGGGGACCAGCCCTAGGTGAGGGTCAGCCTTTGCTAAGCTTCCAAAGCAGAAAAACTTGGAATGTTCTCTAAATTGAAGTGTAAAAGTCTTAGAACTTCAGCAGAGATACAGGGAGGCTCTGGGTTTTTTTCTCCCATGTTTGTCCTTAGACAAAACAAATTGAAGCTACAAGCAAGTTTAAAGTGTTTCCCTAACTATGTCAGAGGCCAAACTTAAATGCTTTGTATCTATGTTTGCTACAGTTCTCCGGGAATGGAAATATTGAGCTTTCATTGCCTCGGTCAGAATTGTTGCTTGTATCTAGAAGTAGAAAAAAGAAAAAGCTAAATATTGTGTTAAGTGCTTGATGTTACTGAGGAAAAATAAATCTTATCTGTGTGTATTTTTTTTCTAGAGTGTTCAGAGTTTTCCCAGAGGTCCTGTGAAGAATGTCTAAAAAATGTTTCGGTAAGATTTTTAACATTCTTTTTGACTGAGAATGTGGTGATTTTTTTTTTTTTTGGCCATTTAATATGAAGTCAGGTTGTTGGGGTTGGTTTGGCTGTTTGGTGGGCGTTTTGTTTTTAATGGTGAGTCTAGTCAAACTACCCTTAAAAAGAGGAAGTCTCTGTTCTTATTTAAGTGGTGGAGTCAACTGATGTGCTGCTTCTGCGCTGTCACACTCAATACCAGTGTGCTTTCACTTTGCCAGGGTTGCTCCATGATTTGGTCACTCAGGGTATTTCTCTGCTTTGTCTGGAGAGGATGGACAGTGTAGAATCCAAGCTTCCAGTTCCAGCGTGTGCTCAGTGCTTTCACAGCGCAGCTGAGTGAGTTGATGTTGCTGCTGGTTTAGATTCATCCTCATTTTGCAAGCAGTGCTTAGTTAAATTTCCATCTTATACAAGGGCTAGGTAAACTGACTCTTATGTGGCTAAAATGCCTTGCATTTCTTGTATGCTGAATAGGAGAACTGGGAAGTTAATGTAAATAAACTAGAAATGCCTTTCTCTGGAGATGCCCCAAGCCATGCATTTAACTGAGGCAGACTGGATCAGTGCTTTGTAGATGTTCAGACATGTTGGCCTCTCCACTGACTACACCAGACTGTAAGTGCTTAAGACTGCCAGGCTAGATCTCCATTTTGGTAGCAAAGTATTTAGATTTCCAATGAGATTGCAATAAGGCAGACATTTAAAACAATAGAATTTGTTTCTCCACCCTCTGCTCAAAACCTTTTTAGCTCCACAATAAGGGTCGTGATAAATATGCAAAAGGTGTCTGTCCCTGCAGAGTAGAAGAAACTCCCATATTTAAAGTGAGAGATTGTTTCAAATTCTAACTTCAGATGTCTCTGAAAAGAAATATTTCATGAGTCTTTAAGATATGTAGTTACTGCAAAACCTTTTCAGTAGGGGAAATTGAGAAATATCTAAACTTACCTGTTTTATGCTTGTCTTAAGCATCTTTTGGCTTTTTTAATGGAAAAATATTAATTGCCTTGTATTGATGTGGTTGTGTGTTGTCATACCTGTGTATTTGTTGTCATAAGCATGGCGTTGTGTAAAGAACTCTTAATCTTCAAAAGTATAAAGCAGGAAATGGAAAATATGGGTCATTAAAGAGTCAACGTTCAGCACTACCACTGGTGTGACTGTCACTTCAAATAAGTGCTGCTACAGATACATGAGCAAAACTTTTATTATCCTGAGAGCTATGTGCTCACCTTGTGTGAGAAATAAATCCTTTAGCTGTGTTCGTGTACTGAAGATACTCACAGTTACAGATACATTATTTTCAGAATCTGTCAAATCAATGACAGTGTCCAGGCTTGTTTTGGTGACAGAATGATGGATGATTCAGGCCAACTGCTTTAATAGCATCAGTGTTAACTTTGAAGAAAGGAGTTTAGACTTGATTCAGACAATTTGCACATACGTTAAAAAAAAGCCTATGGAACAAAGCCATTAGCATTTGTGTGAGTAATACAAAAGCAAAGGATTGCTGAAATTACTTTGTTTAATTGCTTCAGTAGAAAAAAAAAAATCAGGTTTTCATATTGGTGATAATATAGATAGCAGCCGATTAAAAATGAAAATTAAACATTTGGTAAATAGATAAAAACAATTCCAAACAAACCCTAAAATGTAGTAATTTAGTTTAGTTAAATAGAATTATAATTCAAAATGCTCAAATTTTGTTTGTCATAATTATAATTGGGTTGGTCTTTTGGGTTGGTCTTTAGAGTTGATGAGTACCTATTTTCTCGTGGTTTTATCAATTCTGATAAAATAAAACTGTTCTGAGTGGTAATTTTATAGATACACTGTTGCATTTCATCTTATTCCTTACAACATGGTACATGAAAAAAAATAACACATAACGGTTTTGATTAGAGCCGTTGAATCCTGAAACTCAATTTATTTACTTCAAAGAAATATTTACTGCTATAACTAGCAGATTACCAGGTGTATTAAAATTTGAGAACTTTATCTGTTACCAGATAATGTGTAAATACCTATTGATTAATGTCTTTAGAGAGTTTTCTCTTAACGTTTCTAACTCCATATGACAGTGTGTAAGACAAAATACATAATGCAAGCACTAGTTAAAGATAGGACTATATTTTAAAATCTGTGTGCATGTGTAGAGCCTCAGCATTCTGGAGAATTTTCCAAAGTCTCATTTTTAACTTTTGAGTAGTCTACCAACACGCTTTCCCCCTCAGCTATTTATTTTGTCATTCTCATCTTTGTCTTAATAACAAATGTATGGACTCTAAATTCTTGTGGTAAATGGATTTTAGGCAAGCTAGGCCTTAAAAAAAAAAACAACAACAAAAAAACCCAAAAAACTAGCAACAGCCATAGGAAATTTTGTGATTAATAAATATAGCCAATTTTTTTTGAAGGAAAGGTGGGGATAATAGTCACTTGCATACATCTATCTGATTATAGAGAAAGAAGCATTCATTTTGTGTTCATAGTTACTATCTTAGCTCTTTTAATACTGACAATATGTCCTTAAAATGAGTGTGGACTGAATTAATAATGTTGCACTTTATTTTAGTAGAGTCTCACATGGATAATGAAGTCAGTGATATCCATCAGAGTGTGAACGTGGTTCCTAGCATACTCTGCAAAGGGTATATGATTTATGTCTAAATAAAATAAAATCTTTTCAGTCTTTTTTAGGTTATATAGATGAGGATCAAAGTTAAGGAAATGTTTCACCCTTAGGTGTTTAGGTTTTTTCCTAACTTGATTTTGACAACTCAGTTTTTAGCATTGGGAATGAGTCAACTGAAACATTTTCTTACTTCAGCCCCTGCACCAATCAGCAGCTGTATTGTGTATTGCCTTTTGGGCTATACACGTTTTTAATAGTTACGTGCAGTAGTCTCCATCAGAGTAATACAGTTGACCTTCCTGTGTGCCTAGTTGTCGCCAACAGTATAGAGTTCTTCAGATTAGAAGAGACCTCATGAGTCATCTAGTCCAGCCTCTTACTCAAAACAGGGTCAACATTACATTCAAACAAGTTTAACAATGACTTTTAGTCTGTCCCTATTAGTTGTTATTTTTGAACTGTTAGTTGTTATTAAATATTTGATCCAACAAAAATAAGCCTGTTCGCATCTAACATCCTTGATTAAAATTGAAACTTAGGAGGGCAGTTTTTTTGCAAAGATTATTCTGCCTTAATTATTTTTGTTGATGTGTCTTTATGGGTACATTTGACTTGTACAGTCTACCAACTACAAAATATGAATAAATTTTTCTTGTCTCTTTCTTCACCTTTTTCAAGAGAGCAGAATCTACTACAAATGTTTTCCTTTGAATTCAATGTTTTCTAACCCTTTAGAGCAAGGTAACAGACTTTGTGCGATTGAGGATGTATGACAGAGATATTCTTGATACTACTGTGTTGTGGTTTAACCTCAGCTGGCAACTAAGCACCACACAGCTGCTCGCTTGCTCCCCGCAGTGGGATAGGGGAGAGAATTGGAAAAAAAGTAAAACCTGTGAGTTGAGATAAAGACAGTTTAATAGGACAGCAAAGGAAGAGAAAATAATAATAATCATAGTTCCTGGATGAGCTCTTTCTAGAATGAATCCTAAAAAACCCTGTTCTGTCAGGGTTTCCTTTAACTGTCATCCAAAACTTCTTCACTGGTTAAGTTGTGTGATAAAGAAATTTTGGATGAGTATCTATTTTAACAGATGTAAAACAAAACTTAAGCTTGATGCTTAGTGGTGACATAAAAAGCAGAAATGTTGTGCTATTGTAACTATATTACATTTTTGTAACTGTAATACATGTAAGAACATTTAAATTTAAATTTTAAATTTTAAAAATATCCAGATACATAAGTGTGCACAATTAAGGTACCCAATGTACTTTGCAACACAGATTGGATAAGGCTGTATCTTTTATTACGTTACAGCAAAACGTCCTGTAGAATGTATGGGTTCTTTATTTTTTTTTTCTGTTGATAGTCAAATATAGGGCTGAAGTAAGATTATATGTGGTTTTTTATTCATCAGAGATACCGGTTGTGTTAAAATTCTGAGCAGTTGGCTTTCTGGTTTTGTATTTCTCATTTCAGTAATTCTAAACTCAAAGCCACTTTATCCTCAAGTATACAGAGTACCTCAATATGTTCCCAAATATTTTCAGGTTAGTGTAAATATTTATTACCTTTGTTACCTGTAAGTACAAAATCTACTTACTCACAATTCAGTTTAGGCTTCCTTAGGAATTGTACCAGGGCTTCTGTAGGTTTTATACTACAAAGCACTTTCAATATATCCATACAGTACTGTATGCACTTAAGAATTCTGTCTGTGGAGAGGAGCACTAAATTGTAAACTGTTCTTGAAGATCAATAACTTGTGGGTTTTTTTCTTTTTCACAGTGCCTTTGGTGTTACACCAACAACACTTGTATTGATTACCCTGTAAGAAGCATTCTTCCACCATCTTCATTATGTTCACTCTCAAATGCTCGATGGGGAGTTTGCTGGAGTAGGTACTAATTTTACTTTTGCTGTAGAGAATTATTTATGAGGATGATTAAAGTAAGACTACCACTTACTAGAGCTGTTTCCTGATATTTATTTGGAGGAGTGGGGGGAGGAGGCAGTGGTTATGATTTAGAACCATGATCCCTAATCTTCTGGACTTACGAAACAGTCATTGTTAAGGGTTCTTTGTGAACAGCCAGTATAGTTACGCTGATCCAATGGCTTTAAAACATTTACTATGTAGTGAAGTTCTGTTGATGCTAAAGTCTAGATTGGGAACCAGTGATGTTGGAATGTTCTGAGTATTTTATGTATGTATTCAGGATTCACCTGTTTCTTAAACTATACTTCTGAGGTACACAGAAATAAGGTCATTCCCTGTTGACAAAGGGTGACCATTCTTACCTTTTTTTTAAATTTCTTAAAATGTTGGATGATATGCCTGGATCCACAATTTTTATAGTATATTCCAGGGGCTGCAGTGAACCAATACCACAGGAATGGAGCCACCCAAAAATTCTTGAATACTGTTTTTGCTTAAACAACTGAAAAAACAGTGTGATCTGTGGGTGCTGAAGGCAATGCAGTTAAGGTTAAAAAGGCAGCTGCAGAGTGCCACTGTAGATTGTAGTGCTGCATCATTTCATTGTTCTTAGATTTCCTTTGCTTTGCATTACAAAATACAGTGCAGTGCATATGCTGCCATTGGGGTGAAATTTTTGGAGCTATTTTTGCAATACTGTGTATACAGATCTAAAATCAGAATAGATTGGAACAGAGAACAAATAAGACATTGGAAAGCTTGTCATATGAAATAAGAGTACATCTTCAGTCTAGCAAAGCAAAGGCTTGTTGCTTTCTATGTGTTTGTTCATGAACACCAGGAGGCTAAAGGACAGAAACAAGTGGGGATGAACTATCAGTGACCATGTTAACTGTAAATTACAAGAAAGTTATCATACTTAAGAGCAGTGAGACAATGGAGTAGTCTTTAAATTAGAGTAGCAGAGGTAGAAGACAGCTATTAATGGAGCGTGCAGGTTTCTGAATGCTACCACTTCATATAATCCCTGCAAACTAAGGGACTAGATTGGACAGTACAGGAGAACTTTACCAATTCTTTGTTCTTAGCAGAAGGGCTCTGTGCTTTGTTTTGTGAGAGAAAGCATTTATGCTTAGACTTTTGGAGTTTTTTTAGAGCTACAGAAGGTATATCATTTCACTGATGAGGCATGCTTTTCAGGAAATTGGGCTTTCGATATTATAGTAAATGAACTGTTAAGCAAACTTTTTTCTGGAAGTGTGGTGGGTTGACTACTGCCAACAGCTAAGTACCCACACAGCTGCTCGCTCCCTCCCTCCCCTGGCCTCAGTGGGATGGGGGAAGAAAACAGGAAGAACAAAAGCAAGAAAACTCATGGATTGAGATAAAGACAGTTTAATAGGTGAAGGAAAAATGGGGAGAGAGAAGAAAAAAAACAAGCAAAGGAAATCACTCACCACCTCCCACAGGCAGACTGATGCCCAGTCAGTCCCCAGACAGTAGTCACCTTGGAAGCCAGATACCCCCTCCACTTCTTTTTCTTTTACCCCAGGTTTTATTGCTGATCATGGCATTGTATGGTGTAGAATATCCCTTTGGCCAGTTTGGGTCAGGTGTTCTGGCAGTGTCCCTTCCTGACCTCTCTGATCTCTTGCCTCCCTCCAGCCATACTCACTTCAGGGGAAGAGAAGATCTTGATGCTCTTCAAGCCTGTTCAGCAACAGCCAAAACATTGGTGTTATCAGCTCTGTTTTAGCCAGAAATCCAAAATCTGGCATCATACCAGCTGCTGTGAAGAAAGTTAACTCTGTCCTAGCCAGACCCAGTACAGAAATGCATTTGTGCTGTGTCCTTTTGGAAAGCAGTGATTACTGGTATCTACTGATGCTAATAGGGTGTTCTTGGCAGTTTACTCCTGCTATAGAAATGGCTTCTATCTTGGGCACCATTTGTGTTTCTAGATTGAATGCAGGTTAAACAGAGAATGGAGCACATTCTCAAAAAAAAAGTTAAAAGTGGAAAAAGAAAAAAACAAGACAACAACCCCCCCAGATATGTATTTCCTTAATAGATTTTTTTTTTACAAATTACATGCAGCAACATGCCATGGGGATATATAGTCTTATTGAGACTGTCCCCTTTGGACATAGCAGGAAAACTAATTACCTTGTGAGCATGGTGGTGGTGTTTTTCCTTTTCGCAGATAAAATGAAGAGATGAGTGTTGGCTCAGTGTTGCTGAAAATGAAGCTGAATATTGCAGCTCTCAAAGTCAAAAGCAAATGACTGGCTTCCAGTTACAATTTTTATGGAATAAGACATGTTGACAGATTATTAACCAGCAGTGAAGAAAAAAGAACAGTATAGAAGCAACATAATACCAAATAGCTTAATTGTATTGTTTTTCATGAATAATAAGCAAATGAAATAGATAGTGGAGACAGGAATGCAGACTGAAAACTGACAATCTTTTTCTGGACTTTGAGGTTCAAAATATATTTTTTGCTTCAATTAAATGGCATTTAAAAAGTAAATAGTATACTTTGAAAAAATAAATTAAGATTAAAACCATGTTTTGTTTTTTACTTCACTGAATGAAGTATATGTAATTGCTTGTAGGGGAGTAACAGAATGAGAAATGTGGTACGGTGGAATGTGTTACTTTCAAAATTTACAAGTTCAGGATTTACTTCTGTATTGTAACTAGAAACTATGTATTAGTATGTATTATAAACTGTACCCAGTAAATCATAACACAAGCAAAAATATTTGCTGGGATCTAATCTTTGGCAAGATCTATGAAGGATATTCCTTGGCCAGATGTGAGTTGGTGAGATCTGTAGAGAAATAACAGACTTTTTGGCTTGTGCATGTGATCAGAGAGGATAGACCCTCTGAACTTCACTTGCTAAATTTGACTGTCTTATCCCTGGTAGCCTGAAGCAGCAAAAAGTGCATGTGCAGCTACTTTG